GTCTTCGCCGCCATCCTGCGTCTCCTCAACACACCAAGCTCTCCGGCCAGGTTTTCTTTTGGAATTCCGGCGCTCAAATGCCATGCCCGCCGTCGACGCGTCTACACCAGAAACGCGCGCTTCTTGGGTCACAGGGCCGACCGCCTCACAGGATAGTATAACCTCACCGGCCGCCATGCTGAAAAACAAGTTTGTTGAAAACAAATCTGACCTCTCACAAGAAGTCGTGGCTGAAAGACAGCTGAAAAGGAGTCATCAAATATTCACCTAAGACCTAGGCCTCCAGACTCGTTCCCTGCTTTACAGGAGTCATGACTGACCAGCTGCTTGCAGGCCAAGATTCAGCCTGCTCACATCCGGCCGAGATCTTCCCCATGGCAAGCTCTTCATGGAAACGACAACCTTTTTCGCCAACTGCGCAACGCTGAAACAAGAGCCGCTACTAGTACTTGTAAAAGAGACTTGAGGGGCACCAAGGAACGCTAGCATTTTGCTTCAGGCTGACTGACTGATGACCAACGATGACTAGTGACTAATGCGCCCATGTTCTCCAAACCCTTGCCTCAGCATCCAATGCGGACTGATTCAGCTCGTACCAAATTGATCCCTTTTCTGGGAATGGGAGCGCGAGCCATTCATCCTCAGCAATGACTTGCTTTTCTGCAAAATCCTTTCGATGTCTGACGCTGCGACCCTCGAAAACCATCGTGCATCTGCAATTTCGCCTGAGACAATGGACCAATTCAGGACGTCAAATCAAACATTATATAGCCAGTGGTTTTGTCTGAGCATTCCACTTTCACACATTTGAATCTCCGTGGTCAAGGCTTTGCACTTCACCACAAAGAAGAGGTTGCTCTTGTTCGCCTAAAATACAAATAAACTGCAGGCTTTTGACAGCGCCTGTTGAGGGTTCATGATCGACTTTAGAGGCGAAAGCAGCCACATTTTGGAGGCACGCAATGCAACATGCAAAGCTGCTAGGAACATGCATTGCATACCTTTTCAATCTAGCCCTTCAACATTGCAAATGAGGCACATGTGCAAGGTTGCCACCTCAGTCTCACATCAAAGCATAGGACTGCTACAAAAACAGCAGCCCGCGTGCAATTCAACGTGAAACTCCACAAGAACGTCGCAACGCCTACAGACTTGCGAATGTAAACCAAATAATGTCCACTGACCTGGCGAGCTATTGATGGCCGCAACCAACCAACCAACCAACCAATCTCAGTTGCAGGAAACAGCTTCGTACTTTATGGCATAACAAACGTCCAGACTGGCAAGCTTCGAGGGGTCTTCGAAGAGCGCCACAGGAACTTACAGTTTCATGCAGTGTTTCGGAGGTTTTCGCTTTGCATCAACGTCATCCTCGCTGATTTTCAGCTTCAACAACGACACAGCAACACTTGCTGACATCATGATCCGGATGCTGGTGGGCAAAACCAAAAAAAACAAAACCAAAAAGAGCGAATGACAGCTTAAACGATGATGGACAGAGCCGCAGAGGGGTGCAAGAGGTATTTGACACATTGAATATCCGAGGTCCATCATCTCCAACATCTGCCTCCCACTTTCTTCGTTTGATGTTCAAAAGGGGAACCATTGCTTGAGGGCTTTGCGAGAACAAACAATGACGCTACCTAAAATATGACGGAACAAAGCACCAATTGAGCAGCTTCGCTGATTTGTTGCCCAGACTTGCGTGTCTTATGTAATGTGGTAGCGCGTGTGAACCCCATCATACGCACAATGAATCCAAAGCTTGCCCAATAAAAGAGCGGCAATTGACCATGAACCGCCAAAGATGAGATTGCAGTAAGCAAGACAATCAAATTCGTCAGCCAAGCCAAGACCCTTCAGAGAAAGTGCTGAAGGCGGCCTTTTGACGCGTTCAAAGTATAGCTTTACCCTTCTATTCACCGCTACACCCTTCTCTTTTTGCTTGACCACAGGAGTGACCAAGGGTTCAATCTTCGCCTCTCGCTGGCTACTTCGGCGACGTTGCTAACCATCGTGGAACCGCCAAAAAACCAAGCAGAAACAGCGCAGCTGCCTCTTTATGCCATGGGTGCAACAGGGTCAGGCGCTGAAGCGGTCCGGTGACAATTAGGGCGTGTGGCCACGCAGGCCACTCATGTCCGATTGACGAGCGAGCGGTGGCGCGCCAAGAGCTTAAATCTTAAATGGAACAAAGCAAGAAATTTAACACTGCTGACGGGTGTGTTTTCTTTTCGTCAATCAGACAACAGTACGGGGAGGCCATGCACAGTGAGTGGTCTTGTTTCGTTAAACAGTCCGCCTGCAAGTGGGCGACTCCTTGAAGCGCGCCGCCATAGAGCCAGGCTGCGACGAAGACATTCGCGTAAGTTACCCTGTCGACGCATTCATTCATGGCGTTGGCCTTGCTACGCGAGGATGCTCAGCGTGCTGCGCTTCTCCAAGGATCGCGGTTGTGCAACACCAGCATACCCATTCGGGGCACTGTGACCTCCATAGCCAAAGATCGCCGGCTTGTCAAATGGCGTTGAAGGTTAGGCCACAACTCATGTGTGTAGTTGCGGAAGACACGGCGGCCAGAAGGCCTTCCCTCGCTTCCTTTGCTGGCCAAACTCACAGCTGCGCTCAGGTCAAGGCTTGGCTGCCCAGAAAGCCACTGTAAGGAGCCGGCCACACTGCGGAATTCTTTCCACTCCTTCGCCTTCAGAACTTCACCACTAACACGCCCACCTCAAGCTGTCCACGTGGCATTTCCTCGATGAAGCATCTCTGCGCATCTCACCTTGAGGGTGGTTGGAATTGGACGTGCCCATTCTCATGTAAGCCAGCTCGCTCAGCGAGTAGCCCTTTCTGAATGCCACCAGGAAGTCGTCCGCGTGAATCGCCGTGGCAGCGAACATCTTGTTCTCGCTGTCGCGCTTGACCAAGCTCGTCAGAAGTCGGTGTGGCTCAAAGCGCTTCTCCTCACAGGTTCTGAGCGCTGACAGCCACCAAGATCGAATGGCTGAAGAAAAGCCGCGCAGGATTCGCTGAGATCTCATACAGCTCATCTGGGAAAGCGTTTGCAGCTCTCTGTAGCATGTCATGGAGAGCGACGAAAGCGCGGTTCTTGTTTGCTCTATTCCTTGGGAAGTGGGAGTTTATGGGCGTACTCCTATTGAGTGCAGCAAATTCTGGATCAAGCGTCCGCTTCTACATTTCCCCCGATAATTGGACCGGACGATCTGTTTTTGTGCGTTGCCTCCAGGAATGACGCGTTTCTGCGGGGATAAGAGGATATGCGCCTGCAAAGATCACGCGCGTAGACCGCGTCCAATTGAATCTTTTCATTGAAACCCGGACCGCGAAACGCTGCTTGGCGTGACCCGCGCGCCATGTGCTCATTGGCCCCAAGGTAGCTGCATTGATGGGACCATTAGAAAACGAGTGAGCTCCTTCGTTCAAAGGTAGCCTCGGTGCAGAGCTTTCATTGCATCAGGTAGAGGCGCGCTGCAAAAAGTGATGTCCGTTGGCAGACCAGGCACTGGTAGTCCGACAAGTTCTCGATCAGGTTGTTCTCCTTCTTGAAGGGCGTCGGTCTTGGGACGACCATCGGGTAGACCTGCTTGGCAGCGTCAATGCGCGCAGTGGTGCGCAGGTGCTTCGCAAGCCCATCTGCATGCGAGGGTCGGCAAGCTTGTCGTTTTTGTTGCGATAGTCGTTGATCGACAGCCGGAGCAATTCCAGGAGCGTTGAAGGGAAACTGTTTCGTCTTGATGACGGCAAAGGACAGGCCCCACCATCGCACCTGATCATCTGCGCATTGTCCAACTCCTGCAGGGCCACCGCGCAAGGTTAACTTGAATTTAGAAGGCGCGGCTGCCTCTCTATAAGGTCGCAAACCAGTTCTGGTTCACGGCGCTCAAGAAAAGTACAAGGGAAACCGATCAGTAGGAGCAGAGGTTTCCGCCGTTGGCTGCGGGTGGCTTCATGGACAAAGGCCTGTATTTCTGGGCCGCTCAGACCCTTACAATTTTTCAGTTCCTGCGTTCAAGCCAAACTTCTTGGCAAAGATTGTGGCCTTGGCGGCGCTGGCAAAGAGCTTGAGAACGTCCGCGTAGGAAGGTCTGTTTCTTTCAGTTGGCGCATTGCCAGCGCCTCGCACCGTGAGAAGATTGCCAGTCATCCGTTGCCTGGAGGCCAGCTGTAAACGCTCTCCGCACCCAGCTCTTCCGCTGGCAGCCTTTTGGCACCCCCTGCGGCGCGGGCGGCCGACGTCTTGTCCACGTCTGCCATCAGTCTTCGATCGCGCTGTAGGCTCGTGCTCGGGTCGCGTCACAGGGCGACGTTACGAAGTTTATGTTACAAGCTCCGGCAAATCCAAGTGCTCGAAGTGCACTTGGGATGATCTCAGCCGAAAGCAACCGCGGTGAGCCGGATTCAGCCTTCAACACTGCTGCAATCTTGGGATCGTGGAAGCCATGTTCACAAACCTGCCTTGCAGCTTTACTCCCACAAGCGGCATCTCATATTTCTCATAGACCCAAACGTCTCGGAGATTGTTGTAGCTCCAAGCAGGCGTGTTGGATCGACCGGATCAGGCTTGGGCGCAGCCCGCAGTTGGGTCGCGGGTGAGGATGCGTCCGCCTCAGTGGCTGAAGGGGGTGAGGTGTCGCCAGTGTCACCTCAACAACAATAAGGTCATCGGTCCGGACTTCAGAATCTTCAGACTCGGAAAGTTCATCTCCTTCACCTATAATAATAGTCTTCAGGATCGTCATCTGGCGGACTTCGAGCGCGGCAAGTTCATCTCCTTCACCTTCTTCAGGGGCGGTGCGTTGGGAGGATCAAATCGTGGAAGTCGTGGGCGTCGTCAATGGGCTCCCAACTCAGTGGTGAGCGCTCATAGCCAGGATCTGGAGTTCCATGAGGAATGAACATCCAAGTGCCACAGTTCGTATGTATGTCAAGTGAAGGTCCTGGATGTAGCTCCGCGAAACCACCTTGTGAGAACGAGGAACCGCCAAAGGACCAGGCAGAAACAAGCGCTGCAATGTCCAAAAGCTCGCTCAGCTGCCTACTTATGCCACGTGCAAAGGCGCAACACGGTCAAGCGCTCAAGGGGCCCGCTGAGAATATTGGGCCATGTGGCCATGCATTTCCATCATGTCTGATTGACGAACGAGCGGCGGCGTGCCAAAAGCTCAAAAGGAACAACGCAAGAAAATTCACAATTTGTGGCAATTTATTGAGACGGCAGTGGGCATCAAGCCACCATGACTCATTGTGAATGCTCCGAAATACTCGAAGGTAGCATCGATGCCTGTCTCCTGCAAAAACGTCTCCAGCTACTCAGCATTGTTTGAGAAAAGTTACCGATGCAAAAACTTCCTCTTTGACTTCTCGAAGGGCAGCTTCATGAAGGTCCTATGGGACACTGACTCTGCAGCAAGATTGGGCAGTGCGCCTGTGCACTCTGGCCTCACCGGCGTCAACCAGACCGGTTGGAAGTTTCCATGCTTTGGATTTTGCTGCTGGCCCAGACTTCTCTCGCACAAGCAAGATCTTGCCCTGCAAAAGAAGCATTGGAACGACTGAATTTGATCTAGAGAACAAACATAGTAAATAAACGTTTCAACAACATTTGAGCGCGCTTGACACGTCCGCGGAGTCCATGATTTGCGCCGTGCACCTCTGAGTTCGTCACAAGGGCACCTACTCCAATTGTGTGGCTAGCGTTGTGCGGCAACGTATTCGGGCAGCTAGAGGGCAGCCTCAGTAGTGTGGACATAGTTGGCAGGACCTAGCGCAAATTCTTTTGGTGCAGTGGCAGGTTGAGACTTGTGTAATCTTAGCTTGGCAGCCATTTTGTCATCATGACATAGTCCCTCTCTGCCTTGTTCACAGTTGAAATGCGCCCCGAAAGTGATGACACAAATTCTGGCAGGTGGTCCAAATTCAGCTGGGGAACGTGATGGTACTCGAAACCAAACTCAGAAATTGCAATTGGGCAGCCGCGCTGATATCCAAGCGGAGCCACCTTGCTTTTCAAGGCTGAAAGGCGCTGAAGGCGCTTTTATCAAGGCGCTGAAGCATTAAAAACAAATTCAAATTCACCAAGTTTGGGACACCCCGCGCTTGCCGTGCTTCATCCATTCATCTAGGGAAGAAGCCTGGATTGACACATCAGCTGTATCAAGAATGTCAACTGTCAAGCAACCAGCAAAGCAATGACAAAAGCTGAGCCTAACAGCAAAAAGAAGCGCAACCAAAACGCTAGGACTGACCGGAACGCATCTTGTTCTGCTGGAACCGTTTCAGGGTCCACAACTACCCCACCTTAGCAAAAAAACGAAGGTACGAAGTCCATCAAACTGATCCATGTGGTGTCAGATATTGAAACCAAGAACTGTCTCCTGCACTGTGAAACAAACATGAGAGGACAGAACTGCAAAAATGTCGACAAAAACAGCACCACTTCAAGCCCCAAACAGGCACAGCGGCAACTCTCCAAATCACAGCCACATGAACACATTGACAAAAACTATCCACAATGACAATGACTCAGTGAAAATGCTTTGAGCGTCCAGCCATACAAATCAAACTTGCAAGGCAAACTCTTGTTGCTGCCCTGCGATTCTCCAGATATCCAATAAGCCTGGGACACTCTTGAAAGCTCCGTGTTGCCTCCATTCTTTCCAGTGGCTTGCTTCTCAGGTGCAACTCTGTACTTCGATGCCCTACCAAGGAATAGTCTGACATGTGCCTTAACATGGCACCGAATCAATTAGACTTGGATTCTCCGGCAACTGCTCTCAATGCATTCGATTGACGTGTCTTCATTTTTGCATGCGCCAAAACCGCTTCCACGCACATTCAAACGTTGTGGAAGGTCCGTTCAATTCATAAAGTGCTTTATATGTATATCTATCTACTTATCTACCTATCTACTATCTTCCTATCTACCTATCTACCTATCTACCTATTTACCTATCTATCTACCTATCTACCTATCTACCTATCCATCTATCTATGTACCTATCTACCTATCTACCTACCTATCTACCTACCTATCTATCTATCTATCTATCTATCACACTTGTCGCATGTTAATTTCAAGGACACCCCACCACTCTTCTTGCACTGTCGTGTTCTATTAAAAAAACAGTGCCGGTGTTGGTGTTTTGGGGCACAACCAACGCGTCCACCTGCCATGGTTCACTGCGCCCAGTCAGCCACGTTGTAGTTTGAACACTGCAAGCCGACCCCTCAAACATTGGTAACAAACTGCACCTGCACAACAGTCTCTGCCGTGTTTCGCTGCAACAAATGAATACGTTCGCACAGGCCAAATACCATTAGTGTCTGGTTACCCGACTGTCTTTACTTGGATCTTTTGTTTTTCACCCTCTCCCGCTGCCGCTCTTTCGTTCTTTCGTCCGTTCTTTCTACACGGGAAATTGCAGCTTCGCAACAGCTTGCTTGTCAGCAGGCTTATCATCTTCCTCAGGGATTAGGAACACGGATATTGAAAGCTCATAAGTCGGAAGAGAACCCACACCTCACACCTTGCTGGCAGAACTGCAAGCCACGCACTTTACGTTGACTATGTTGACGGCGCCCAAGGACACTGCAGGAAGAGCCTGGTTTGCAAAAGGCTTCTGAAACTGAGAAAATCTTGTGTCGCCACTTCTTGACAGTCTTGTGACTTTGGACTTTGAGAATCCTCCCGAATCTCATGCGGAAATGACTTCATGCCAAGCTGCTGTCAAGGACAGGCGAGGTATTGCAGCAAGTCTTCTCCAAGCCATTGGAAAAGTGGAGTCAGAAAACTGAACATAAACTGAAAGCGTCTTGTTTGGTTTGGGATCCAGTTTTGCCGGGTTTTATGAATGCTCTTGGAGCGAAGAAGGCGCTGCCAACTTGAAGACTGCTGGAGTTCACGTCCACACTCTGGCTCTCTCGCTCTCTATGAGCATGAACGCTGGCAGAAAACACTTGTTTTGGCTCCGGACACCCCACCAGCTCCACATGCACAAAGAAACTTTGCAAAAAAAACACTCGCCAAATTTTCAGACATACAAACTTGAACTCCAAACAGTGTCAATTTGCACATCGACAGTCCTTGTACCCACCCAAAACCACGAGACCCCTGTAGGTGACAAACCCTGACAAACCTTAGACTTGCCAACCTGGACGGACAAACAGGCATCTGCTCAAGTTTCTAAGGATGAGTGAGTGAGTGAGTGAGCGAGCGAGGGAGCGAGCGAGGGAGTGAGTGAGTGAGGGAGCGAGCGAGTGAGTGAGCGAGCGGTGGAGTGGAGTGGAGTAGAGTGGAGTGGAGTGCAGTGCAGTGAATTGCAGTGCAGTGGAGTGGAGTGAGTGGGTGGGTGAGTGAGGTAGGTGAGGCAGGTGTGTGAGGTAGGCGAGTGGGTGAGTGGGTAAGTGAGTAGGTGAATGAGTGAGTGAGAGAGCGAGAGAAGAAAGAAAGAAAGAAAGAAAGGAAGAAAGGAAGAAAGGAAGAAAGGAAGAAAGGAAGAAAGGAAGAAAGAAAGAAAGAAAGAAAGAAAAAATGAATGAATGAATGAATGAATGAATGTGAGAGTGAGTGTCAGTGTGAGCGTGAGTGTGAGTGTGAGAGAGTGAGAGTGAGCATCTGAGAGCACGGCTCAGATTGCACAGACTGCTGCGCCTGCCACGAAATCTACACTTGGAGGTTCGCAAAGTGCTGCCCCGGCTACGAAATCAGCGCTTCGAGGTTCACCAAGCGCAGCGCCTGCTGCGAAATCAGCTCTTTGAAGTTCACAAAGTGCTGCGCCTGCCACGAAGCACTTTGAGGCGAATTCGCAAAGCGCGTGCCTGCCACGAAATCTGCGCTTCAAGATTCACATGCGGCAGCCCTGACAAAGCGTTTTGCCACAAGAACGCTTCCAAAGACAACGCGCAGATACCAAACGCAGCTTCCGCGCGAGACTTCCCCCGATTTCTGAAAACGAGGCGCATGTAGAAAAGTCACGATTCACTGCGCCTGTCGCGACATTGGAGCGTCGAAGATCACCACCATGTTCAAAGTGCTGCCCCTGCCACGAAATCTCCGTATCGAAGTAACATCCCTTGCGCCTGTCACGAGAAGTCGACTTTAGATCACGACAGCGCGAGGTTTCCCCTGCGCCTGCCGCGAAAAGTGACTGCCACGTCCGAAAATGCGCGCGATGAGCGCCCGCTGTGCCCAGGCAGGTTTTGCGAGCCTGCGCAGTCGACATGCACTTCGAGGATTTCGAGAGGCGTGACACCGACTGCAAATAGCATTTGCGACACCTCGATTAGACACCGGCCCTTAACCCCTACCCTAAAAACCCCTAGTGTGACCACACTGTTTGGGGAACAAGAACAAGGAAAAAAACTTATATATACAAATCGCAGCTGAAGGTTGATGAACTGTGACACCCCCACTCAACCATCTGCACGCGCCCTTTGATCAAGAAAACAACATGATTTGCTCTCAACCACCTTACTCATGTTGCTCGTACTGTTTTTCTCTATTCAATCCAGCGCTTGGTGAAGGTGAAAATGAGAGCTCCAGTTCTGGATGCTCTCACTCCATTCGAACGCGCTAAGCTCACGGAGAACGATCTATCATCGCTCTGTCCACGCAACTACAGTAGGGCGCAGCAAGCCTCAAGAAACAAAACAACGCCCGCTAAACCAAAACTGAAGTGCTGGAACACACGAAGGAAACTTGCACCAAAGCACATGGGCATTGTTGGCCGCTGCAGGAGAGCTGTCCTCTTGGTGGTGATCAAAAAGCAAAGCAAGAAAACATTGTGGTTGACTGCGTTGAATGTTGGTTGGCGGCAAACTGTAGGTCATCAACCAGCCCTTGACAAATGGAACCTTTGGTTCCCTAAAACTTAACCATGAACCCATGAAACCAATCTTTTTCAACGTATTTCGGACAGGGCCTCTCTTCCCTCAACATGTTTTCTTTGATTCCTTTCTCATAATCAGCAAAGAAACAAGGGCATCACATCAAACCTACAAGAGTTATTTTTGTGTTCGCGCGCGATAGAAATAACCGCCGGCGGACGGTGCAAACGTGGAATAAGCAGTGGGTTCCACAGGATTTTTGCTGCAGCGACTTCGTCATCCTTTTGGCGCCTTGAACAACCCGAGCCCGAGAAAAGAATACTACAAAGCAAGGCTCACAGGGTTTCTTCCTCGAACATTGTGACAGCGACCTCCAGAAAACCAACGGCGCAACCCAGCGACCGGTTGGTTGTTTTGGGCCTGGCGTGACTTTGGCAAAACAATCTTCCCAGAATTGAGCCTGAATGGGCGGCAGAGGAGGCGGCGCCGTTCTCCTGACCTGCAGGCAGCGCATTGATGTTGTCCTCCTGGAGCAAGATGTTGGAGGGCATGGTCCATGCAGGACATTTGGAAACCTAATGATCCTTTGAGCTCATGATACCAGAGAAGGTGCGTACACTAATCCGTATGCGGATTTGAGAAGTTCACACACCTCGTGTTCACGAAGGTTCATCTTCTCTCGCGTGCATGCTTGCAGATGGTCTTACCACAGACCGAGCAGAACCGACCTGTTGCGGTCTGTGATTCGAGCAGCCAAATATCAGTTGGCGGACGAACAACTCGTTCTGGACCAGAAAAAGGAAGAACGAGAGAGGCGCAAGCAAATAGCCACCCAGCGTGTAGAAGCCCACAAGAAGAAACCAGGCAAAGACCTGGAGGAATGAATTCGTGGTTCTCCGCTTTTTGCTGAAGTGCAAGTTTCGGCATGTGCATCGTGTTTGATCGTGTTTTTCTGTGAGTAACTTTCGGTAGCGCTGCAGAGAGAGAGGGCAATGAGCTAGGTGTTTTTCGCGCCGCAATTTTATTGGTAAAAGCACGCAAAGCATGATTTCTTTATGTGAGCCAGAGACAGCGTCGTCATGTTCAGACAGGAAGTGATCCTCAGTGAATATGTTTTTCAAATTTGGTTTGCAGCTTTATTCTCGAAGAATGTTTCGGCGCGAGTCTTGCAAGGCTTTTCGACAGCTCAGTTTGTTAGTGAGTGAGATGGCATTCCAATCCAGGCCAGTGGCTCCAGAAGAGCTGGCAAGGGCTCAGGAGGTCATATCCCGAGCGCAGCATGCTGGAGTAAAGAGCAGAAAGAATTCCGATCAAGGTTATGCAGCGATGAATGACGGATGCAAACGTCTTCGAGCCCAAGGTTTGGAAGATTTATATAGCCTTGGATGAATCACGGGAGCCAGTGGCATACGCTGACCCAGAGCAAAGTTTGCATCAGCTGCGCCTTGAAGGAGGAGTGCCTTCATCCCAGATTTCGGCGAAGCCAGAGAAGGGAGGCCACAAGAAGGTGAGCTTGCCAGTTGGGATTGCGAGTTTGAGGGATTGGGGCACCACAATCTGTCGTTTGCCAAAGGTGAGCAAGTTTAATTGACCTACGACAATTTGTTCAACGACAAGGATTACCAGAGCTACTTGCCATGGATCCAGGCTCATGGGAAGCTTGCAAGGGCAAAAAGTTTGGCGATTTTGCCGCTTACTTGGAAGCCATTAGCTATGCCGAGAGTGCGAATGCTCAAGCCCCAGTTTTCCAGGAAGCGCCGCGCGACGCGAAAAGCGTTGAGAACATAGCGAAAGAGAGACACCTGCGCATTCTGGAGAGGACTTGAGGAGAATCATAGGAAGATTTCTTTTACATATAGAAGTTTAAGGAATGAAAAAGCAGTGTCTCGTGTGCATGATCCATAGATCACAACCGCAAACACCCTGTACTCTAGGCAGAGCGACAAAATGGCGCCGGAAGGGTAGAGGGTAGGGAAAAAGGAGTGTTTGCACTCATTGCATCCATACCTACAGATACACGCCGCCCTTCCACTGCCTTGCCCAACAGCCATCTTATTCTAGTTTAATATTCGCTTATTGAGACCCCTTCCTCCTGCACTTGTGCGCTATCCATCGGCCACGCAAACCACCAGCCACAACACCGAGCCAGCCCAGCATTACAACATCTGCTGCTCCGAAAAGGTGTTCCTTTGACGGACCGTCGAATGCCTTCGTTGCAAATGCGCCCCATCATCGCACTTTCCTTCTCAACATTGCCAGAGTGGGCGCATATCCATAAGCCCGCCGTAGCCTTTGCGCCCCTAACTCCCTCGCTCGCACTTTTCATTCGCAATATCAATTTTCCTGCCGCGCTTCCTACCCTCAAAGTTCGTCGTCGGCCGTGTGACACCGACCTTGCTCCGCTCTGCGGCAATCGAGAAAACCTGCGAATTACATTCTGCTGATTGTTGGACCGCCCTCTCAGGTTTCACACCTGATCCGTCCAAGCTAGTTGCACGTAATTGGTTTGCGTATTAAAAAACTCTCTTCTGATATGTGCTGGGCTGACGCTGGGGTGCTGGCGACCTTGAAGACTAGAGCATTGCACTGAAACGCAATATTTTCCACAAGCGCTGGTGACGGGCTGGGTGCACCGTCACCACCTATATATGAGTGAAAGTTGCGTCGCGACCACAGCCTGGCCCGAACTGTGCGCGTATGACTCCAGCCGCTCTCGCTCTGGCGCGATGCGCGTCTTTAAGTTTGGGGCTCACTTCTTGGGGCAGGCGAAGCAGATTCTTTTTCATTGGCCCAAACAAACCGGTTGGAAGTCTCGGAGACGCATCTGTCGGGACACAAGCAAGGGCCCTCCACTATACAGCAAGTATTTTGGTCCTTCCTTCACCGCATCACAAATCTCAGCTTCAAAACAAAGAAAGTGCATTCTGTGGTTATCCAAGTGTCCCTACGGCAGCTTGAAGCAACCGCTTGGGGACATTTCTTTTATCAGCAACGCTGCTTTATGCTGCTTTTAGATGCTGTTAGCCCTTGCATTTTCGGGGTATCCCTTTTTGCACTTGTGTTTTCTCGCTTTGGGATCGTCTTGGTGGCCAAAAAGGACTCCGACATGAATGTATAATGGACATGAATGTATAATGCCTGGAACGTTTAAAGGAAGTTGAATACTTGATATATACAGTGTATATATATATATATTAAAAATCAACTCTTGTCCTAACTTCAACGTTGGTTTTGACATGACTTTAATGGTTTGGCAATGTAAGGATCTTCTATGTTGCTACCACTCCGTTCTTGGGGTCCAACATGATCGGGGGTAACAAGCTCTACAATGCCTCATTCTCTTTACCCCGTGTGGCTCGTGTAAGGGTGTTGTCGCAACATGTCAGTCCTTTGTACGACACAAAGGTACATAAAGACCCAATACTTGGAGCAAATAGGAAAGTAATCATTCAAAGTGCGCAACGTGAACTTGTTTTGCCCTATACAGCGCAAAACCGTGTCCCCTGTCAAGTCCTGAGCAAACCCTGCCCTCACAAGCTCTCTCTCCAATTCTTCTGCCTGCGTGGGGAGAAGCAAGTGTTGAAAAACACCAAAAATGGGACCGGCCCGAAAGGCGAGCGCCAAAGACTGCGAAGCGTCCTAGTAGCACTACATAGTTACATAAGCGAACGAGCACCTCGTGGGTTCGCCAGTCCCACAAAAACCACGACGCTGATTCTTGTGAGGACAATGGTTTGGACAAACGCGTGATTTAAACAGCAGCGCTTGCAATGAAAATGACAAGAGTAATTGTTTTCTGGAGCCCAACAGCATTGCGTGTTGAGCATCCAGTGCATAGCTCAAGTTGCTTGATAGGGCCCTGCCAAAAAACAGAACCGCCAAAAGTAGATTGATGGTACTTCCCTTGGGCACTAATCATATCTTTAAAAATCAGTGTCGCATCAAGAGGGAAGAAAACTAGGCGCGACGTGCAGAGCGGGAAAGCCAATTGGCCAACCTTAGCAGCGTTGCGAAGCAATGTGTTCATTGATCGCTTGAAACAATGCCAGGTCTCGGTGCAAAGTGTGGATGTAGAATCAAACCAAGGTGCAGGTGAAGGTCTAGAAAACAAATCTGCCCACACCGCTTGCGGTGCAGGGCGTGTTAGGGGCGGGTCAAGCTGGAACTCATCACGTCGTAATCACTTCATAGCTCTGCTAGGGGGGTTCGGGGAAAAACGTCTTACGCCTCGAGGGCCATGGGGGAGAGCGTTTGGAGGTACACTTTTGGACTATTTCTGCAAGCACCCAAACAAGCCAAAAAACGGACACCCACGATGCTGAAAAACCCTCTTGACCAGCAACGCATAACCAGCACTATTGGAAGTACATTTTTGGACTATTTCTGCAAGAACCCAAACAAGCCAAAAAACGGACACCCACGATGCTGAAAAACCCTCCTGACCAGCAACGCATAACCACCATTATTGATATTATTGCAAAAAACACAACGTAGCCTCAACGCAGGGTCACCAAACGATCAAGCTAGCCTTGACATGATATAATGTGGACTAACCAAGCGGGGGCAAGGCCACAAAACGGTCGAACTTGGAGCCTGAATTGGCTTTAACATGGCCACCAAACGAGCGAACTTGTGCGAAACTCAGCCGCAACATGGCATAGACGCTGCGGCAAACAAGCCATCTCTTTGGACACCACTCCCGACCTCCCCTGTCCACTCCAGCAGTCTTTCCCCAGACGACCGAAAAAGAAGGAAGGTGTGGGCGGCGGTCGACGCGAAGCGTCAGGAATATGTGCAAAGAACAGCTTGGCTACGGCTATGGATTCTATGGATATGCTTGTAACACTTGACTTGCTGCAAACTGTCATTCGCACACACACACAAATACACACACACACAACCGGTGCGAGACATCAGCAGAACTGCCTCTTTGGCTGCCCTTGCAGTCTTATCAACAATGTAGCTCTCTTTGGACTCCAAGTCGATCGCCTGCGCAAGTCTTGTTCAACGGTTCAGTTCTTCGACCCACTCGGTCGGTTTAGATCCGTTCCTCGACAAGGTCCGACACGCAGTTGTGGAGCTGCGTTGCACCAATGAAGGAGGCAGATCCCATGACCTCTCAGGAGGTCTGAGCTCTCTTTCTGCAGGTGCAAAGGACATCAACGGAATATATTATACGATCACTTGACAGTACTTGAGCTGCTCGAAGGCAAACTTGTGCACTTCATGAAGCTTAAACACGCAGTATCTTAGAAAATATTGGACAGTGTTTGATCTGTTTAGTGCCTGCTGCGCAGCTTCCTGGAGCCTCTCGTAGTCCTTTGCCTCCAAGGCCTTGCAAAACAATGCGCCGCGTTGCACAGTTAATCTAGCAAGTTGCAAATTGGCTGAATTATTCTCGGGCACTTTCTGTGTACGCGCAAGCAACGCATACCCTTGACGGACTCACAAACGGCGCTAACCGCATGCTGGGACCATGCAAACAACTTTCCAAACGGATCCTCTGCTTTGTCTTTGTAGCCAACTTGGCGTTGTTTGCGTTGTTTCCATCGTTTGCCTGGTGCATCTCCTGCACCTTCTTCCGCAAATCTGCTGGATAGTCGGCGAGGAAAGCCCGCAGCTGCTCTTCCTTCTGGTTGGCCAAAGCCCTGGCTTTGGGGAAAGTGGTGAAATACTAAAACATATTTTCAATACATACCGGGCACTCCTGACTCTGCAGTTTTCTCACAATTTTGTCCTATCTTTTAGCTAGCATTAGTTTTTGTAAAGACAATTGCACTTCCAGGTTTCCCTATTGGTTTGTCAAAAGTCAAAAGTCTTGTACACTGTATAAATTGTTGCTATATGGCAACCTTGATTGACTATTCCCTTTTCAAGTAGCTTTCCCTTCTGAACCTTGATTTGTTTCCTCGAGTAACATTTGGTTCCTCTTGTGGTTCTTCAGATTTCCCAGACTAGATCGGGCTCATTTAGCTGCTCCTGTTGTCGATGGCACCAATCACTATTCTCGACATCCTCGACCCAACTTTTCTCGTTTGTTTTACTGTAATTACTGCTACCTTTTTTGTAGCTACGTCGACAATCTGGGACTCTTGAGTCGTGATGCGGGCTCGCTGGCAGTTGGCTTCTCCACCATGACCACCTTCTTCAAGCTTTGGCGACTTGAACTGGACTTTGAGAAATCCCACTGCTGGGCCGTTGACCAGGACTGCCGCAAGGCTCTCGACCAGTTCCCACTTCATCGCCTCGAGCATGCCAACGAACTGGGTGGCTCACTCACCTTCGGCGCTCGTCCAAGGGTCAGCGACATTAAAGCAAGGATGGCGCGGCTTGATGATCTATGGCCGGCGCTGCAGCGATCCAAGGCCTCACTGACCCAGAAGTTGCTTGCCCTATCCACTGTTCTCTGGCCTCAAGGCCTGCGTGGCATTCTCTCCTGCCGGTTTGCATACTCGCACCTGGACGCTTTGAGACGGAAAGCCGCTTTGGCGTTGGGATGGAGAAAGGCTGGATCATCGCCAGCAATGAGATTCTTGTTATCGGATCTGCCTTTTCAGATCCACTTCTATGGCATCACAAGACGGTGCTCCTGGGTTTCAGGAGGTTGTGCAGAAAGTCAGCGGATTTTTTCATGCATTGGACTTCATTCCTTGCTGCCTACACTGGGACCCATTCTCCAAACTGCTTGAGTTGACATCGCGCCTTGGTTGGAGTTTTCTTAGTGCGGACCGGGTCCTCGACCACTGGCAGGTTGAATGGTCTTTGCTCAAAGCTCCTTGGCACTGGTGTGAAGAACGCTTGTTGGATGCAGGCATTGGTCTTTGGGCATATCGGAGCTTCGCTCGCACTCTGTCCTCACTGGGGAAAGCGCAGCTGTCAGCCATCTCGATTGGGTGCTACATTGACAATTCGAAGTTTGGCAAGTATGACCTTGCCCTGGACCGCCTGTGTCAGTGCTGTCAGTGCCCAGACACACTTGAACATTGGTTTTCATGTCATCTTTTGGTTTCCGTCAATGGACCTTTTCGGGCCACATTTCCGGATTGGGATTCTTGGCCACGGTGTTTTAGAAACCACGTTTTGTTGCCGCATGCAACACTGGTGACTGAACTTGCTGCCTACTTTGATGATCTACCAGATCGCACAGTCGAGTACATGGCCCGACCTGGCCCTGGTATGCGTCATTCTCGGGTGGCTTATTCGGCTTGGGCCGCAGTGAGCGCAACCTCGGGACAGGTCATCAGTGGAGCTCCTCTTCATGGTCCATGTCGATCGATTGGCCGGGCGGAGCTCACGGCCCTTGTGAGCACTGAGCACCGTCAAATGGGGGCTGTTGGAGCCACGAGCTGAAGTCCATGCGTGGTCGGACTCCCAGCATATAGCCTATGGGGCCCACTTTGTGCAGTGTACTGGATTTATCCCACACACGTGGGAGCACCAGGATCTCTGGCAAGAGCTCGGCGCTGCATTAGACGCATCCTCGGAGGACCAGTTTGCCTTTGACTGGGCGCCTAGTCACCTTGACGAAAAGACATTGTGAATCGCCCTTGGAGGACTGGCTTCAGAAGTGGAACAACGTAGTTGACCGGGTTGCAGGATACATGAACTCTGCCCGCTCTTCACAAGCTTTGGAGCTCTTTGGTCAGGTTGTCGCATACGATGTCAGGCGGCGATGCCGACAAGAGCATATGTTGCAGTTCATTGTCTCAGCAGGCGAGTTGAGGACGACTGAAGAAGAACCAATTGAGACTGTCATTTCCGACAAAGACTCAGGATCTCCTGACGGCTGCGGAGCCTGGCCGCCTGCCGCCGGCTCTCTACATGGAGCTGACGGGCTGGCTGAGCAGCTGCAGAGGACCTGAGAGCCGTAGGACCACTTGTAGCTTATTTGAATTCGCTTTTCTTTACGCGTTCATGGACTCCGGCAACTTTCCCTTTGAAGAAGTTGGAGGCCGCAGGGTCATGAAGCAGGTGCAGGACCTTTTTGTACGTCCGACGGTTACAGCCTTGGTCGACATGGTTAGGGTCGCTCTTACCGATCTTTGCCGTCAATTTGGTGTTGAGCTGGTTTCGGTTCCTCCTGATGTTTTGTTGGGTCTGGGTATCCACACTCCCATGTTAGGTGTCCCTCTTGACATGAACCCTTCTCATCTCTCATCTCGACCTTGGTCGTCGGCTTTTGCGGAGATGGACAGCATCTCGACCGATCAGAAGGGCGGCAGATCTCACCCGCCCTTTCACAGAGACTTGAGCCGCCTTGCGGCCGGACACGCTGCACGCGGCGCCGCTTGCGCTGCGCCCGTGCGACCGAACGTCAGAGATAATTACTGCTACCTTCTACTTATTCAGTTCCACTATTGGTTTGGATACATATTCTTTTTTAGCACCTTCAATTGTTGCATTGGTTTCTCTTTTTCCGTGATTCTTTCTATTTCTACTTCTTGACCTCGCCTCTACATAGTGTTGCGTCGTTGAGAAACTGTTCCCACTCTCAAGAGGCTTCTCGTTTAGAGAAGCAAATGTTTATTTCTGAGCTCTGTTTAAAATTGGATTCTGGGAAACAATGCGTACAAAGACTACAATAGGAGCTAGGCCAGAGACAGAAAGGTTGATTGGCCAGTATCATTGCAATATACGCCATGACGCAGAAAGAAAGGATAATAATTTTGTATTATGGCTGAGGTCTGGATAAAGTGGGATGCTTGTATGTTGGCGTAGGTTCCATAAAACATGGCGCGTTTCTCAAGATGAAAAGGTACTCAAGAACACCTTTGTATTGGAAATAGCCATTGTAATAGTTAGCAAGAAACGGAAACAAATCCCGAAGGAAGGAAACTCTTCAAGAGCCTGACCAAACTTGTTTCCTATTCGGCTGGATTTGCCTTATCATAGATGCGCAAGAAGAACCGTGAAGGCTTTATTGCCAAATGATCAAATGCAATATTACGCACCTTTTCTTGACTCACTAAAGGGCTGCAGTCAGGTGAGAATGACTGACATGATGCTAGTCATGCTGTACGTCTGTGTGGTTTACATGGAACATGGTCCGCGCTCCTTCTTGTGCGGCGTGAGACTCTAAAACGCTTCTTTGAGCTCACTCTTTGCCACCATAGTCCATGTTCTTCCATTCAATTCTTCCCCCCCTCTCTCTCTCTCTCTGCAGGTTTGTTCATATCTTCCCACTACAGGAACTGGGTTCCTGAAGCGTGCTTCTGTTGGTTCAACATCTGGGTTGCCCCTTCTGTATTGCGCTTTTCCAAAGAGTTCTTCATATGTTCCTCGTTCTCGCTCACACCTATCTGCAGAACCCTGGTCTCCTAGCCCTAGTAGGTTCCATTCTTGTTCTTTCATGTCTTCAATGTTGGCGTGGAGTCTACCACACATCTGTGCTGCTTGCATCTTTAAAGAATTTGGCCCCATCAATACCTCTCTGTTTCCCTTTCTGAATGCCTCTAGCATCACCCTGTGTCCTTCATACTATCCGTAGCCTGCATAGCTTCAAAACCTCTTCTGGATAGGTAGTTTCCTGCGTTGATCTCACTCAGGATGTTGTAGCTTAGAATAGCCTGTCGACTCGGTGTTTCTCTCTCTACAAAGCTTCCATTCAGCGTGACGTAGTCTCGAAGTGTTTCTAACTTCTCTTCAAGTTCTTCGTCTCTCCAAATTCTCTCACTTCAACGTCATCAATTCGCTTGTCAGTTCTCTTAGCTATCGTCTCGTAGAATCCTGTCGTCGCTTGTCAATCTGCGTGTAGCGCTTTAACGTGTTTGTAAGTTTTGAAGGTCACAAAAATTACTGCTGCAAAACCAACAATTTGGAACGCAATGATAATGACAATCCAAATTTTCCATTCTTCATTGGATTTCTCTACTGCGCCCAATCCACATTGGGTATTGCCTACTTTCAAGAATGCTTCTGTAACCATTGGCTGCAAGCCCTCCAATGCTACCATTCTCTTTGCAATCTTGTTGACCTTTCCCGCAAAGTTCTTTTTCTCTTCGTACTCCCTTCTCTCATACGCTCCTCCTTTGATTTGGTCTTCACTGCGCCAGTAACCAATGAGATTCAAGAAGTATCTGATTCTTGGTCCTCCAAATGGTTTTGCGTTGATATCTGCTATGTTGCAATCTGTTGGGACTTGTACCATCTTGAAGTCTTTCCCGCTCTAAGTGTCTCGCCTTTCCAACTCCTCTCTTCTTCGCAAGTTGGCGCGCACTTGATGAATCTGTGTAGATATAACGGCGCGCCTCTGTCCCAGGAGCAAATTCAAGAACTGCGCGAATGTAGATTCCATCTCACACTGAGGAAACTATCGCGTGTAGTTCTGCTTCGCACGAAGATAAGCTGATAGTTCTTCTGTGTTCTGCTGCTGCTGAACAATGGACAACTGTTCAATGCATGGAATCCTCCTGATATCGACTTTCTGTGGATTTTGTTTCCACTGCAGTCTGCATCTGATAATGTCTCCAAACACCAAAAGTTTTTTCCTTTCAAGTGCTAGACAATAGTCCATAGTCTTCTTCAAGCATCCTAGCAATAAGTGATGAAATGACATAGCTGTAGGACTTGACATTTTTGAAGCCAATTCCCTCACTGTGAACGCTACATCATACCTCTCCTGACATAGGTGGAAACCTGACCCAACAAT